TTTTTAAATATTAATCTTAAAATTAAAATTTTAAACCTAAGTTATAAGATACTACTTTATCTAGTTTTAGATTTAACTCTTGTAGGCAGTGGATCATATTTATACATGTTTATTTTAGTATAAATTTATCGTAGAAAAATCCGACGCTTCATGAATATGAGATGGATTAAATTCACAATCAAAGAGGAAAAGTACAAACTGTTGTCAACATAAGAACAAACTGGATTCTTCTCCCTATTAAGCCCCCCTCGAGTTTGATCCAACACTAACAAAATCCTCCCTACCCAAAAAAAAAAAAAAAATATCAACCCCTACTTGGGATTTTCCTTCAATCCACGCATGCTTGATTCTTCCCAACCAAAATACATTTTTCCCTCAATGTCATTAAAAAATGTGTTTGGCTATCCAATATCGTCCAAACTATTAAACCATATCTATCGAGTTGGACACCAATTTAACAACTATTTTTTTGCGGTCTAGGTTACAAAAAAAGAAAGAGATAGATGTTTGGATTGCATTGTTTTACAATTTAAATTGTTTTAGAATATAAAATATAAATTTTTATATATCTTTAAAAAAAATAAAATATTAAGGAGTTCTTTTTCTTCAAAGAATTAATGTTTTACAATTCAAAAAAATTCAAATTATAAAATACTTTTTTCTTTGATGTTTTTATTTATTTATTTTTTAATCTCTGCATCTCTAAATTTCCAAGAGCCCACTTGATATCAAAAAATTTCATACACATAAATCAAGCGGCTATCGCGTTTTGCAGCTGCCAAATTTCCGGTCCGGGAACCCGCAGGCAAAATCCACCTTCGAATCTCCACAGAAAACTCTCATGGACATGTTAGGAAGAAATAAAGAAAAACCAAAGAGTAAGAAAGTTGTAAGGCAAGATCTCATTTTCTTTAAGAATTTAAAATTCCTCCAACATATAACAAAATTTATAAACTCTTTTAAAATTAAGTATAGAATATGAATTCTATTAAATGAATTTATATTATTTTAATATACATCACCTGAAATATGTCTCTATAGAAAGACACTTGCCACTTGTCACTTGCCACTTGCCACTTGCCACTTGCCACTTGCCACTTGCCAAATGAATGTGTCTCTACAGAAAAATATCATTCCAGAATGGTGCTTTTTATTATCAAAAATTATGTTTAAAATTCATATATGTTTTTTTAATGTCAAAAAAAATTAATTAAAAAATAAATTTCTTTTGGCAGGTCAAAGTGTCAAGATGCCCCAACTAATATTGGATAAGAATCTAGCTTTTAGAGCGGCCGTGCAGTTCATTGATATTGTTTGTATCCAAATTATATTGAATTGGATTTAAATAGATATTCTGAGTATAATTCCAAACAACTTTTTAACCTCTTAAATCAATTTTATAAATGAAGTGAAAAAGATTTTCATGCAACAATAATGATACCACAAGAATCAGTATAACATAAACCATTCACCATTTAACATAAATGAATTGAAAATGGGGCACTATTATTATTTTATTTACATATCAAAAAAATGTCCGCATTTACCCACAAAAAAAAAAAAAAAAAAGGAACAATTCAATCAACGAGCATCACAAGAACTGACCAATCCAAAGGCCCATCTCCGACCAGCACACCAACTCCTACATTTTCTATGAGCCCAACATTCAAATTCAAACAATAAGAACTCAACACCACTCGTTTTGTCCACCCAAAAAGCCCAGTTCTAAACGAAGCCCACATACTCATCCTTGTACCGAAAAGCACCGTCCCTCTTCTCTGTTCCTCTTTCGTTTCCTTCAAAACAGTGTACTCCACCAACGGCTGATCGTCTTCCCGTCCCGTCGTCCCGAATTTCAGCCGGAGACTCTTCTCTCCCCTCGACCCCAATCTTAAACCTTCCACCGTCACAGAAAGTGCACTATCTTCACTATACAATACAAAACTCTCTATTTCGTCCAAGGAAAACACGGAAACAAAATTGGGTTTGTATACGGTGAAGTTCACATCCCATCTCGCCGACAGCGTTAAATCGGAGACGGCGAAGCCCCATACGGAGAGCGAGTTCAATCAGACGACCGGCGTTCCAGGACAAAACGCGATTTCCACAAACAAGTTCAGCAATGTACCGGAGATTAATAGGGTACACATTACGGTTAGAGCTAGAGGGGGGTAAACCATTTCCTTCATGCCGGAAACTATATCGGAGAAATGGGTTATTGGAGAACGGTAGCTGAAGTTGAGAGGCGGTGAAAAGCCATGATTTTGGGATTTTGTGTATTTGAGAGCATAATTCATGGTTTAAATATAAAGATAGTCTAGCATGTGGCTCAAGGCAAAGTTTAAGCTCTCGGCTACTCATATAAGCCTTGCCCAATTAAAACATCACCCCAACTCCCAAAAGACTTGTCTTCTCATTTTTCAAAATTTTCTTGAACCCATTTGATTTCAACAAAGTTTAATGACCTGGAATTGCTCAAGGCCGGCCCCATTTAACTATTTTTGCTGGCTGGGCTAAGCTGAAGACTGTACTATTTCTCAATTAAAGGATTGGGCTTAAAGGGCTTGAACTTTTACTGCAAGTCTTCTCT